GCCCCCTGGTGGGCTGAGCTGGCCACACACACACACACACACACACTCATAAATAAAATTAAACAAAAAAAAAAATTTAAAGAGGAGGTGATTGCTAGAGATGGACTTCAGTGCTCCCTGAGTCCAATCATCAGGACTGTAAAAGTAAATAATTATTAATAGCTAATAAATTATAGGAAATCATAGGCTAGCTATACAATGGACTATAGTGAGAGGTCTTTATATGCTTATGTAAAAAGATTTTTAAAATAATGTCATTTAAAAACAAAAATCAAGATGGAGAACTGTACCTTCTCTTTTAAAAAACTGTACAACAAAGCTATTCTGCATGTCAGAATATACACAAAATATTTCCTGAAAACTATGCAAGGGAGGGAGATGGCTCAGTGGAATAAGCGCTTCCCTGGCAAGTGCAAGGGCCTGAGTTCAATCCCCAGTTCTGGGGGAAGGGAAAAAAAAATACATACACACACACACACACACACACACACACACGATATATTTGAGTCTTTTGTCAGTAAATGGATGCAACTAGAGAACATATTCTTCAGTGAAATAAATCAGACCCACATGCTCAAAAAAAAAACCCCCAAAACAAAACACTATGCAAGGGGGGTAAGGCTGCCTGAGATCAAGAATGGAGGTATGAAAGAAACTAAAATTTACTTTTGAATTTATTCTGTTATATATTATCTGGATATTTTACTATGTATACATATTATTTATATAACTTTAAATTTATTTATGTATTTTAAAAATAAAGGGTGTAATCCCAACTACTTGGGAGGCTGAGGCAGGAATACTACAAGTTCAAAGCCAGCATGGGCAACTTAGTAAAACCCCATCTTGAAACACAAGGGGTGGGAATGTAGCTCAGTACTTTCTGAGATCAATCCCTAGCATGGAGGCAGGGAGAAGGAGGAAAAGATGAAAGAGAGATTTGCTTTGGACCACTGAGGGAAACCAAATTGAGCAAGCTCTCCAGGACACCATTAGAGAAAGTACTCAGGGTGGGGCCGGTGAGATAGCTCAGTGAGGGCTGGGGAGATGGCTCAGTAGAATAAGTGCCTGCCTGGCAAGCACAAGGGCCTGAGTTCAATCCCCGGTTCTGCCAAAAAAAAAAAAAAAAAAGAGAGAGAGATAGCTAAGCGAACTAAACGTCTACTTAGGTAAGCATGGGGACTGGGGTTCAATCCCAGGCTGGTGCTGGGGAGGCTGAAAACAGGAGAATCGCTGGGAACTCATTTGCCTCTCCACCTTTCCCTCTTCAGTACAGGGCCTTTACATGAGCTATACCGCCAGTCCCTTTTAATTTTTGAGACAGAATCTTGCTAAATTGCTGGGGCTAAGCTCAAACTTGTATTCTGTCTCAGTCTCCCTCAGTGCTGGGATTACAAGAAGTGTCCAGTATCTCAGCACGTCAGGCTCTTTAATGTTATTTTGGTTGCATCATCTTATAGTTCAAGGTTCTCACTGACAACTTTTCTTTTGTTTTTGTTTTTGTTTTTGTTTTTGTTTTTGCAGTACTGGGGATTGAACTCAGGACCTTGAGCTTGCCAGGCAAGCACTTATTCTACTGAGCTATCCCCCCAGCCCTTGACACCTTTTCTTTTTTTTTTTTAATTTTTATTTATTTATTTGTGTGTGTGTGTGTGTGTGTGTGTGTGTGTGTGTGGCCAGCTCAGCCCACCAGGAGGCGGGGCTAGCTGGCATGTG